ACCGGCACAGGTGGAGAAGGAAGGAGAAGGGGAACTGGGCCAGGCTAGGCCCAGCCCGAGCAGGGAAAAGAAGAAAAGAAAAGGAAAGCGGGTCGGGCCCGCGCGAAGGGGAAAAAGAAAAGAAAAAAGAATGGGCTGGGCCCATGCGGGGGAAAAAAAAAAGAAAAGAGAAAAAGGGCCGGGTTGGCCCGGCCCCGACCCGGCCCGACTCGTTTTTTTTTTTTTCTTGAAAATTTTTTTAAAACATTCTAATAGACCCTATTAATATAAAATGTACCTAATTTCTATATGCAATGCATTTTAAATTGAAATATTTTTTGTTTTAGAAATTAAAGGAAATTAATTCCTAAATTTTGTGCAATTAATTTTGGGCAAATTAAAAATAGGTGTCAACACGTCTGCTCTGCTACTTTCTTTGTTCCAGCAGTTAGAAGCATAATGGCCAAGTTTATTGCAATGATAACATCGGATTTTAGATTTATCATACCATTGGCTTGTCGAGTTCTTTCCTCTTCCACGAACACCTCTTTGGTACCGGTATCCTCCATCACTTCGAGCAGGATCTCCTCTGCTTCGTCCACGACCACTTCCTCGAAAGTGACCTCGGCCACGACCTCGATCATGATCTTGATTTGTCCCGTGATTTTGTACGGGATCTCTTCTTTGCTCCTTCTCATCTCGAATGGTCAATTGCGTTTGGAGAACTTCCTCCACCGGTTCAATCTTTTTCTTTTTAAACCTTTCTTCATGGGCTTGTAATGAACCCATAAGTTCATCGACCGTCATGGCATCCAAGTCTTTGGATTCTTCAATTGCAACCGCAATATGATTATACTTCTTGTCTAAGGACTGAAGTATTTTCTCAACAACACGAACATCGGAAACGTCTTCTTCGTTTCTTTTCATTTGATTAACAATTGCCAAAATTCTCGTGAAATAATCAGCAATCGATTCAGATTCTTTCATATGAATTACCTCGAATTCGTCTCTCAAGGTTTGAAGGCGAATCTTCTGAACTTTCTGAACTCCTTGATGTGTGTTTTGAAGAATCTCCCACGCCTCTTTAGCGGTAGTGGCATTCGAAACTTTTTTGAACATGGAATCATCTAATGCTTGATAGATGATCGACAGGGCATATTGATCTTTCGTTCGAACCTTCTTCAAGGCATTCCTCTGGTTCTGGTTCAACGTGGCTTCATCCTCTGGCTCATCATAGCCAGTGTTAACAAGTTCCCACACACCGTAGGTGCCGAGTAGAGCTTTCATTTTAACAGCCCAGTTACCATAATTTTCTTTGGTAAGACGAGGGTATTGAAGAGGAAGCTAATTGTTCGTTGAGGCCATGATCACGAACCGTAGGCTCTGATACCAATTTGTTGAGCGTTAGAGACGCAGCAACAACTTGATTTGATGGAAGAAATTTTTGAAGGTGAAACAATCGCAACTCGCGCAGAGAAAAGAAGAAGATAGATAGAATTTTCTGACTCACTCAGATTTCACTCTTATGAAAAAATTACAAGACTCCCCTATTTAAAGAAAAGTTACGTGACCCTTATCTTTCCTAAAATATAACTAGAAAGAATATCTCACAATATCTCATCTTATCTCTTAATATCTAACCATATCTCTTAATATCTCACCATATATCTAAAAAAACAATTATTTCACCTAAAAACACGAAAAATCAAAATATGGAAATACGAATGACTCAAAAAAGAAACAAGTACCAACAAATTTGGTTTAATTTCTAACAGATATATCCCCACCAATCTTGTTTTCACATTGTGCCGTCATGACTTTATCCTTAGCTATAAGCCTTCGAATTTTGAGATGCCGTTGGTGGGAAACTCTTCCACGTAGCAGAGCTGGGGTGGACTATGGCTATAATGGACTATAATGAGGAGGAGGACAGATCCATTTACGATCTACTAAGATGGAAAGTTGCTTGATTGGTTCAAATCCAATTCATAAACTAGAAGAAAGGTTAGTATGTAGAAACTTGGTCAATGATAGTTTTCCCCATACCGTATGATGGCTATGCAATCACTTCATTCATAAATCACTTTCTTTGGCTAGGTGCAATGTTCTCAGACTCTCTCGATACGAATGCATAGAATTTCTTTGTGCCTATATCCTTACATTACTCCTTATGTTAAGGACAACAATTATGTGTCATTGACCTTACGTTTGCTTAGCTAAGTGACATTTTGCATAATACCCTAATTTTGACTTATATGAGATTTGTAAAAACCATGTCGTCCGGAAAGAGGAAATTATAGTATTTCATGTTCGATCATTACATAAAAATTTCACGCCGAGTGGAGTAACATGAGATGATTAAGGTAACATGAACTTATTAAGCTAGTAATACGGCGTACATTCATGACGGTGACGTTTGTAGCTAGCTATCTCATTTATAAAAAAAACATATGATGATAATTCATGACACCACATCCAAGTCTGGTAGACCTTAGGGATAGCATAATGATATTTCCAAAGGAAAGCACAAAATCTCATGCACATTGATTTCAAGATCATGACTTTCATTATGTTTGCCAAAATTCTTGCTTCATTAATTGCAACGCCTCCCTCTTGTTCTTTTGTGGATTGATTAATCCAAAAGTTGCTGGGATTCTTCCTTCTGTTAATGGAATAGGTGACCGTGAGCGGTTGGGACCCAAAAGCTAGCATTGAAGAGTGCATTTGAAGGTCAAACTTAGAGGAGAATTTAAGTAAACAAAACGACAACAATTTATGTGAATGCGATGGTAGTTGTTGAATGAATCAGACAATTAACTAAGTTGTTGAACCTTTGATCGCAGATGTTATGGAGATGAAGCGGGGTTACTTGCACAAACCAAAGGCCTGGATTTAACCGTTCATGGGTTTTGCCGGGTGTTCTATAGGTTTCCAAACAATCGGGTTTATGCTCATTCTCTAGATTATTACTAGAATGCCTTATCCGATACTTCATTTTCTCATTGCAATAGTAGAAAAGAAAAATGCACCGGAACTCCAACCATGTAAAGTGTATGGAGTTGGCTTAGTGGTTAAAGAGTGGACTCGCATATGTGGATTAGGCGCATGACAAAAGTTCTACTTCCCACACCATTATCTACATATAGTTTCATATATGAGCCATCCAACGTGACTTCAACTCGCTTCTAGGCCTCAAAATTTACCTACCTAAGATGATTTCCTCATCAATCAACAAAAGTAAATAAATAAAATTGTGTCAAAAGCATCCCTAAGAGCTGCTCATAACAGTTGGACACTATACTTCAAGAGAGCACGAACATGAAAGCAACTCAACACCAGATGCAACAGCTATAACTTATTGAGTACACAAAGGATATTAATTGATCACACTATATGTATGGTAGAAAGTTTATCGCAACATTTCTCCATCAACACATGGTGCAAAAAAAAAATTCTAGGTTAAGCAAATAATGTGTGTTATATGCTCAATTTAATTCTAGATAACATGCAAACCAAATCACAAAGGATAATCCTGGCGTGTTAGCTTAGTTATATGAGTTCACCCTCTTACGAAAACACCCTTATACCCTCATACAACTTTATCATCTTCGAACCATTTTCAAAAGAGAAAAGTTCTCCTTAATTGGGAGAATGGGGAAGATTAAGTACATTAGCTAGCTTACAAACGTCCTTGAATTAACCCTAACAGCAAATTAGGAGCCCAAAGAATGCCTTCAACTTCAAGAATCAAACAAGGGTTTCAGTGGAAAGTGGGGAATCTATTGGAGTTTCGGATGATGAGCATGCACTACGGAGAACATGGGTTAGTTTGAAAGGGAAATGGCAGGGAGAAGCAACAAATCAATAATGGCGTCCCCCCATTTTTTCGTTGGCCAATGGGATGGAGATGTGTCCCGTCGCTATTCACATTCACAACCCTATTAATATTCCTCCAACCCATTTGAGCATTTGCATTTGCAACCACCTCCTCATCACATGAAAGCTGCAAAACAAATTGGTCGAACGTGATTGGCTCCGATTCATAGGCTTTCTTTCCCTGAGGCGAATTTGAAACCTTTCTGATTGGATGGAGAAGATATTTGGACAGAAGGTTTTCTTGATTTGCAAATTCCTTATAAAGTTGCCATTTTCCTCGTACTATTCCCTTTCCTCTTTCATGATAATTGGTTAATTAGGACAAGCTAGGGTGATCGATATGAGCAACATCGTTCTATGTCAGTCCTTGGAGACAACTATACTTTGCTAATTGGAATTGTATGTGAGATGTCACGGTTTTTAGGTTGTACCTTCCCAATTTCGGTCCCAATGTTAGTAATTCGATAAATTGACGAATCGGTGGACCTTCAATTTGAGAGGAACTGAGGTTTCATCCATAAAAATGGGAGATTGACCGATCAATAAATAACCTTCTACATAGTACTAGGAAACATTTTTCCTCCTCCAACAACATTTCATAACGGCGTCGTGTTCTTCCAATACAATGCAAAATATAAAAAAGATAAGTAACAGATTAATGACATATTACCACAAATTAAAGATACATGTACTAAACGAGAGAGAAAACGGAATGCTTTCATAGATGTGTATAGTCTTGAAAGGATTTTTCCTAGGGTTTTGACTAAACAAACGGGAGATTACATTGAAAATTTTGAATAATCAACTAGAGTAGTTGGTTAAGAGAAGTTATAGTTTGACTTTAGACTGGTAGGCTTGAATTAAATAGCAAGACCTAAAATGCGCAAGACCTAGATAGCTCTCATATGCGCCATTCATAATTCCACATGTTGTTTTCGCATACATTGATTGTCTTGGATTCAAAGATAATTGGTAAAAACAAGTGAGGTCTACATGATGTACGGTTCTTGGGCATCCGGTTGCACCCAAGTTTTGTTCCTCACTGGCCGGTCCGACTTGTTTGCCATTGAATGCATTTATCTTATAATTTTAGTTTCTAATGTATATTTATTGGAGGAGAAAAATGATATTGAAAGTAATTGGTAGGTAATAATGTTTGTCGGCCTTTATCATATCATAACAAAAGAATGGAGATTAGATTCAACTTTTGTGAATCTCATCATCTTTCCCTCTGAAATGAAAGCATTATAAATAGAATTGCAGAAAGAAAAGGCCACTGTTGTGACTTGTTTATTGCAAGGTTGTCTTTTTCTTCTTTCTTTTTGAAGAGAACATAAATTGAACATTGATCAAAGGACAGATACTATAGCTAGCAAACAACCATTCAAATTGTCCAGTCGATGCGTAATGGATCACCCAAACTACTTCTTTATTATCTCTTTTGCCGACGGAATCAGCAGCATCCTTGAGAGAAAATATTTTGATATATAAAGAGGGAGCACCAAAAAGAGAAATAAAGTAAAGTCAATTGATCATCTTTGATGAGTGTAAAGAATCATGCAATTTACAAAAAGATGAGTGATCCCAGCAATCTTAAGCCATAATAAGCAACAAAAGTAAAGCAAAGTGTGTGTATTGTTGAAGAAGCCACATCAGATTATTCTTGCGGACTCTATTATAATAATCAATTCCGCTAATGAAATATCAAAAAGATCCGCACACAATAATTTGAATAATCTTACGCCGGACCCTTCATTAGATCCGATCTAAATTTTATAATGCAGCAACAATTTGCATAAGCTCGGGCATTGGAAATTAATGACAAATTTCATCTGGCTTATGGGTTATGAGTTTTGAAAGAAGAACTTCGTATTAAAAAAACTAATATTCATTTCCTCAAAAGGAGAGGCCGGCAAGAACATGAGAATCTTATCATAGGCACATCAGTTCTAACGAAGACAAAACAATGTTTCTTTTGTTACTTGCAGAGTCGTATATAGAGGGGGACCTTTCTTGCCTCTCTCTTGTCTTTAGCCTCACATACAAAAGGAAACCCTAATTTCCTTTTCGCATTAGACTTACGTTTTCATGGGGTTTCATGGGGTCCCGGAGAAAAGGCCATTTTTTGCAAGTTGGTTGATGTATGTCTTTGGTTTCTTGTTTCAAAATCAAGATTTCATCTACCCAATTATCCTCAAGATTAATTGGCCCAAAACCCTCAGTAGGTTTGGCTGAGTGGATGATTCGACTTAGAACAAAGTAAGAGAGATTCATTGCAATTGAATTACAATAATCTATAAAAGCAAAGATATAGCTAGCTTTATTCTCGGGACATTTAGCAATGCAAAGCTAGCAATACTATAACGTACCAATGACGCGTACATATGAACAAGCAATCCATCTAACCTCTTCAAATGCACATTTTAGCACCCAACTCAGACATGGCTCGTGTGACTAACCTTTTACTTACATGCCTAGTAAGCAAACTGAGAGAAATGCGTAACTTTGCACCCATGTGCAGGTGAACACCATCAAGAACATTACGAACTAATATCAGAAGATTCCCACTCTGGTGAAAATCATGATCAATCACAATGGCAATGATGATGCGCGAGGCCAGAATCCAGATAAAGACTCAAAAGTACAGAAACATAAGAAAAACCGCAGTCCAAAGTACAGATCATTAGATCAGCAACATGTTCCTTACAAAAAAATACAAAGTGGTGACTTTTAGATCTGTATTGATCGACCGTGAGGTTTTATCTTTTATTGATCTGTAACAGACGCCCCACATGGGGGGTGACTCTCTGAAACAGGAAAAGAAGTAGTATCTCAAACAATTAATCTGGCATAAAAAATAGCAAATTTCACCAGATCCGCGTCTAGAGAACTGCTTGGAGAGAGAGAGAGAGAGAGAGAGAGAGAGAGAGAGAGAGAGAGAGTACGGCTCCATTTCACTATCAATGATGAGATCAATCAAGAACGTAAAAGGAGTACAAGTAAACACCGATGAACTAAACAAGAATTCTGAAAACAAGAGAAAAACCAGTGGATGAAAAAAACAAAACTTTAAGAACTTCTGCACTTGTAAATGATGAAATTCTTTCACTTCTCAAGATCCCCCGTGAGAGAGGCTCTCGTTTCAGTGTGTCAAGAATCACAGATTTGTAGAGAACAACATCAAGAACCGCACTTTTAGCCTTCACATGACCCAACAGAAAAGCAAAATCTGTACCAACTGCTCAAAATTCCGAATACTTACTATCCACACGGAGATGATCCGGACGGAGAATTTTTCCTTGGCCCTATTTGTATCTTCCCACAGCTAGCTTGAACCGCAATCGAAACAAGGACTTGTTTGAAAGAGTGGTGAGTGTGTGTGTACTCGCTTCAAAAAGATCCCAATTAATATATGCAGTTCAAGAAAGCTGTGGAAGAATACAAAGAGGACCATTCACTGGACACCCCTGAAAACCCTAAAAGCAAGAAAAGCTTGTGAGAGAGAGAGAGAGAGAGAGAGAGAGAGAGAGAGAGAGAGAGAGGAAGAAGTAGGTGAAGGTTAGGCAGAGAAAAGGGTCTAGGATAGGGGTGGTATTTATAGGAGAATTGAGTGCCTTTTTTGCTCCACCACCAATCCCTAGAAGAATATTGGGCTGAGAGATTGCTGAATCCACCATTTTTCTTTTCTGGAACTGTTTCCCTCAATAAAATATCTTGTATTTTCACTAAAGTCTTAAAAAGCACTTGAGGCTGATCAGCATAAACTCTAAATTTGCCATTTTTTTTTGTTTAAATGTAAATCTTGCGGCAGACATATTTTGACCCTTTTTAGTAACAAAAACACCCGAACCTTTTACGGTATAAATTCACATGCATTTTCTTTTGTTATTTTCTGAAATTTGCATAGGAAAACAAAATTGTACCTTTTTTTTTTACCTAAACCTAATGTTAAACAGACAAATCTTAAGGCTTGATCCGAAACTAAGAAAGTGGGAGCAATGCAAATACTTGTGAAAATTTTTGTGAGAGAGCGATGTAGAGAAAACTCTAATTTTATTCACATTTTCATTTCCCACCTCCCAATTTTTTCCCATGTCATAAGTTCCCAAACTAACTTATTCTTAAAAAATTATTAATTACATACACCTTATATAGTCAAAAACTTGAAAATTATAGGAAGGTATTTTGTTAATGAAAGTTTAAAACCAAAAATTCTCAAATATTATTAGTGTTGGTAAGGCCGACACCGTTTTGATCCCAACTCCCGGTAACCCAGAAACCCGATCACAAGAAAAGGTCATCAAAAAACGTGCGGCTGCGATGCAAGTTGCCGCATCTGACGGTGATCGAAACCCCACACGGGGCGCACAACCGGCGGGCCCCACCTCAGATCTGTCCTCTTCTCTTTGGGAGGAGGGAAGTGCGAAATGGCCCCAGCCCCACGCGCCCCGCGTCGGTTGTCCGACAATCGCCGGACAATTAAACCCTCAACACTCCCCTCCCCTCCTATTCCAATCATTTACATAATGCTAGGAATGAATCGATATAATTAAGATGAATGAATCTATAAGTACATTATGATACATAGTATGACCTAGTTTATTGGTGATTTTTTTTTTCGGACGACATATTATATGTAAATCGATGTCATCATTCCCACAAATGATTTTGGAGAAATCTGAAGAACGATCGTTTTATTATTAGGTGTCTTGTGTGCGCAGTTTTCTAAATCGATAGGAATTCTAGCCTTAAATTTGATACTGATGTAATGTGTTGTGTAGGTTATCTTACTAAATTTAAGCTATTTGCTTCTAGATAAACCCAACTTTTCTTAAGTGTTGATAACGATGGCCACTAAGGTGACAAATTAAGGGTCACGTTAATCCAAAGTGATCATAGAGAGAGAGAAAGAGAGAGAGGGTGGTCCTATGCAGGAACAAGTATCCCCTAACACATAAAGTCCAACTTTGAATTTCATTGTCTCCTTTCATGGTCCCGATTGAATAGAAATCCCGGAAAGATTGCTCGGCGGGGTTGAAAGAAAACCCGCCAAACTCACTCTTGGATCTGAAACGGACGGACGAGAAGAGGACAGAACGAGCAACCGACGGGGTCGGGCAATGAATTCCCGGGGTCGAAATCATCTCATGCTTCCCTAGACCATCGACACCCCCTCCCCACACGAACCAAAGGGTGTGTGCATGATGAATTGCAAAGAGGAGAGAATCAAAGAAGAGAAAGAAAAGGGGGGACTATAAAAGAAATTTTAAAAAGGTTAAGGGGGGGAGGGGTGGCAAAAGGGACATGAAAGGGGAGTTCACATGGAGGCATGTGCATGTGACCCACCCACCGTTGGGGAGGAGCGTGCGTGGGAGTCGGGACACTGCGGTACACCCCCGTCTTTCCCGGGACGGAGGTCTCTTTGTCGGCCCGGTTCGCCCCTGGACTCCTCCCTTTTGTTCACTTCTTCTCTCTCTCTCTCTCTCTCTCTCTCTCTCTCTCTCTCTCTCTCTCTCGAATATTAAACACTTCTTTTTGCAGGTTGTTGTTGTGGGCTCTCCAAAAGCTCGAGTCACTAGCAACAATTATTCATTTGACTTTGACCTCCGGAACAACAATTACCCCGTTTCCCCCCTTCTTCGTGTTCAAAATGCACCGAAATCAAGCCGATGCATTGCCCTCTCTCTCTCTCTCTCTCTCTCTCTCTCTCTCTCTCTCTCTCTCTCTCTCTCTCTCTCTCTCTCTCTAGTTATTGAGTAAGGGGGAGTCGAGTTGCTGGTGAGTAGCTCGAATTCGACTCGATGATATGGACTCTCTCTCTCTCTCTCTCTCTCTCTCTCTAGTTATTGAGTAAGGGGGAGTCGAGTTGCTAGTGAGTAGCTCGAATTCGACTCGATGATATGGATGGACTCGACTTGACTCGGCTCGGCTCGGCTCGTTTTGTTTCGAGCCGAGCTCGGGTTCGTGCCGTGCAAGCGAGTGGAGTGCCGCGATTGATCGAGCTCGCGGGCTTGTTAATCATGCTCGTAGCTGATCGGAACCCTAGTTGTATCGAGTGCCTAGATTTGAAGTTTACAAATTTTCGCTGCTCATAAGAAATTTCAACATCAAAGACATCGAGACTACACATTGTACCTCGACAACACATCAGTGAGCCTAGTCGAGCAGGGCTTGAGTTTTGCGAGTACCTTCCGAGCCGAGCTCGAGCAGGACACGTAATGCTCGATCTAGCTCGAGTAGAGTTTTGAGCACCGCTGTCGAGATGAGTTGGACCCAGACCTTGCAATATATCGACTCAACTTGATTCGGTTGCATCCTTACGTTTATTTAATCATCGTGGGTAGATGCGAATTCAAATAAGCATGGATTTTTTTTGTGCCAGTATGCGATTTGTAAATATATAAAATATTTTGCAATAAGCATGATGTGCGCACGTTAAGGCACTTCATTTATTTTATTCTTCTTTTTTGGCTGCTGGGTAGGAGTTTAGTGGGTAGGTGCATTCTCTTAAGTTAGCTGGCAATCACTTAATTAACATTTTATGCCAATCTTGTCAATGACCCTCGACCCACCCCATCATCATGCCTCTCCGTTTTTCTTTTCAAAGGGTTTGATTTGATTTGATTTGCGAGTAATTAAACAAGTTTCTATTCCAATTTTCCATCGCGTCCCTTGCTTTCTTGAATGCAACGTGTAGGGGGATGGTGCTTTGGTGCTACTTAGATGGATCGCAGCCCACGTCGGTAGAAAGTGACGTTTTGTGATTGCGCATTAGGTAGGCGTGAAATTTTTGCCGCATCCATTGAATGCGAGTTTTTTTTTTTTCCCCTTACCGCATGAATCTCGATTAGGGCATATATTGTTTGAGTGAAAGAATTTTTAATGAATTAGTGTTCTGGATTTTTACGAATTTAGTTTGTTGAAAATGATTAGTCAATGAAAAATAATTTACGGTCAAAGAAAAATAGGCATGCTTAAAATTAGGAAAATGAATTTATTAACACCGACCGTCCTACATGGCACAATCAACGTTACTGTGGACAATTTTACAATTAAAAAAATCGAATTTTTTAATTTTTTATTATTTTCTTTTCTTTTTTTATTCCTTCTTCCTCTGCCGATCGTGAACCTTGGTGATGGCCGACGACCGGTCACAAGCAAGGGCCGACCTCGCCGGCTTTAGATGAGACTCCACGTCACCAGATCTCGGCAAGGCTTGGGCTTGTCGGGATCAGGCAAGCTCTAGTTCGCAGGCCTGGGGCGAGCTCAACCTCATCGGAATCTAGCGAGCTCGAGCCTCACCTAAGGCCAACGAGGTTAGCCCTTACTGTCCCTCTCTTGTGGCCGGTCACTGCCTGTTGTAGAAGCCCAGTGACCGGTAGAGGAAGAAGAAAAAGAAAATGAAAGAAAAGGAGAAACAAAATATATCAAAAATTTTGAATTTAAAAAAAATTGTAAAAATTGTCAGCATTAGCATCGGTTGTGCCACGTAGGATGGTCGGCATCCATGCCAGTAATTTTTGGCCAAAATTGGCAAGAATGACTAAATTGTCAAAAGATTTATGACTCAATTGGCACAGTCAAAAGGTTTATGAATCAATTAACACAATGCAATAGGTTTATGACTTTTTGATAATTTTTCTCTTACAAACTTGTAATTGCAATTCTTAGCAACATCTAATATTTACAAACTCTTCTTAGAAATTAATTAATTTAATTACAGCACCTTATTAACTTTGCTCTAACTAAGTTAACAACTAGTTGTGGGTTATCAACTCTCATTTGAGTTATTTATTAAGTTAATTTTTCTTTTTCTTTTTCACGCAATTTTACCAACTATTATTTCTTCTAAGCCTTATTTTTATCGACTTTCATATGAAATTGCTAATTCTAAATTATGCTAATTCTAAATTATGCGATTTATCAACTCTTCCCTGAGCGAGTTATCAACTACTTCTCAGTTCCCAACTCTCATTAGTGACTTACTAAAGTCTATTTAGTTTAGTTTTTTAATTTTCCAACTTTTCAATTGGATTACTTAATTGAGAAAAAAAGTTAGTCAGCCACTTAAATAAAAAATGATAATTTCATACAATAATTGGTAAATTTGAGGGGTTGGTAAGAAAGAACTTTTTTTGTAAATGTAAGAGAAGTTCCTAATTTAAAAATATCAAATAAAGTTGGTAGTTAACTCAAATAAGAGTTGATAATACAAAATTAATTGGTAACTTAATCGTGTAGTATGAAGGGTAGGTAAAGCAAAATATATTGGTAACTCAATATAAAAATTGGTAATTTTAATTATAAATAAATAACTGTTGGTAGAAAATTCAAACGAGAGTTAGCAACCAAAAAGAAATTGGTGACTTAGTCGGTAAGAAAGGCATATAAAAGTTAGGAAACAGATAAGAGATGTTTTTCGTCATAGATAAGATAAGTTGGCAATTAAAAAAAACAAATGAATATTGGTAACAAAATCAAATAAGAGTTTGGACTCAAAATCAGATGGTAACTTCATCAATGAAAAGTTAATAGTGGCTCTAATTGAGAATAGTAATTTCTAAAAAGTATTGGTAATTCACCAAGTTGGCAAGGCAAATATAAGAATTAACTCAATAAAAAAGTTGATAAATCTAGAAAAAGACAAATAAAAGTTCGCCCAGCCTAA